AATAAAAATAAAACAATTTTTTTAATTTAATTTTTATAAAATTGTAACATGTAGACAATACATAATGATTACTAAGAGACATTAATAACTTGATAAATTATGACTAAAGATAAATAATGTGGTTGTCAAGTACTTATTAATCATTTTTATAACCATTGAGTACCTAATTATATTATTTTTTCTACAAAGATTTAATCATATAATAATTTGGTAATTAGGTTTGAGATCATACCTAGAATTATCTGTAGGTAATATGTATTTATTATATTGGAATTTTTGTATTGCTGTATATATGATTTTCTATGATGATTAATTTTAGTACTAGTCCTTTGATAATCAACTAAAAACTGAAAATCCGTCACAATTTTAATCAGATAATTAAAATTAACAGAAAATTTGTAAACATTAACTCAATAATAAAAATGTATCCACGCTTAATGAAGCTTTGGGAAATGATTTAACTATTTTAAAATTAGATATTGAAAATTATAATATTATCAATATACCTACCTATTGTCAACCATTATCATCAATCCATAAAGGGTATAATTGTATTCTATTTACTTATTCGTTGGCGCTATACAATTAATAAAACATTATTCCAGACTACCTATATAGTATTTGTAGTAAATAATAATCATKAATGAAAACAACAATTATTATCCATAACATTCATTCTTATATGTATGCGTTTGTTTTATGAACATTCTATTTTTACTCTATATTYTATTAAGATATTATATCTACAGTATCTTTAACTGCTATAAAATTAACTGAACTACAAATGTTCATACCATTGGTATAGTTATGTGTTAGATTTTACCAATTTGTATTTATTGTTATCGTACCTACTGACATTTCAATTTAATTAATAGCTACAATTTTTTTAAAATTTTACAACTTTATATTTTTTAATACTGCATATAAATTATGGTTCATATGTTTTCTTATTTTAGGCTCAAAGTGATGATGAAGAAGGAGGTGCCGATGATGTTGCTGTCAATTTGGAAGGCCGGCAAGATGGATCAGGAGCTGGATTTATGGATAAATTTTTTGAGGAGGTAAATATTTGTTTTTAGAAAATAAAAACAAAAATATGCAATTTTCAAAAATTAAAGTTCATCATTTATCATTTAAAATGTAATACATTTTTTCAAAAATTCTWATTAAATGTTTAAAAAAGGTTTCTACTTTTTAAATTAAAAATGTTTTTTTATGATGTTCAATTTTAAATAGTAAATTAAAGATTTAAAAAAGTTTAGAAAAATAAATTAGGTACCTGAAAAAAATATTTTTATGGTCAACATTTTTTCCGACATTTTTCTATAAACTAGATCAACAAATTGGCTAATTTGAATTTTTCAAAAAAATTTAAATGTTATATGGTCATGTAGTACAATACATAAAATTTAAAAAAATGTTGGTTAGAACAAAAGTTATTTCATTTTTCAGATCTTCCTATTATAATCGGCATTATCTATTAAAAATGTCATTCAGTAAAATGTTTCTTTTTTCTATCTGACCCTTGTTCAATGTACCAAATTTATGTTAAACTAATGGATAGTGGTTAGATAGAGGAACAACAGACTAAAAATAAATAGTTATGCATTTGAGATGTTTGAGTGTAGTCTCTCTCACTGTATCTTGTCCCCATGAAGATTAGACTAGGTAATGTGGTAAGCTCTATCCTCTAGTTTATAGCTCTATGGTCGTTAACTAATATTAAAATCGATTGACCTATTATCTAACTTAAAGGTATGAATCTATTGCAACTTATAGACTTTTACTGATGTTTTTAAATCAATTCGACCATATTTCTATTATATTTCTTTTTGGAAATGACTTCTATAATATACTATGGAAACTATATTATATTATAAAATGTATTATAATATAATATTATATCATTTAATATATGTGCTTACTTGTATTATGCAGTGTAACTTATATTACAGTAAATTTATAATAATTAGTTGATAATTAACAAATTTAAGTGTTAAAATACATTAGTAATTTATTTATTTTTCACTATTTTGACAAAATTAATAAAAAAAATAATTATTTCAAAGGTAAAAACGAGTATTCTTGATTGTTATTACATAAATAAAATCTTAAAAACTATAAGTTATATATATGTACTTGATGATAATATTAGTTAGTCAAATAAAAGATAAACCTAATTACAGATAAAACTTCTTCTACTAGTATAAATAATTATATCAGTTTGTTATATATCTTGCCCAGAAAATGTTCATTTTTCTACGATAAAAATAAAATTTTTACCATAATGAAATCAATTTACAAACCCTTATTGTCTGATTTTAAGCTTGAGGTTATTTTTAAAATATTTTTTTAATTTTTTTTAGTTTAAAAGTATTTTTATGCTATTTAGTGTACATCAATAAGAAAATTTCAAACTATTTATGTTATAGGTGGAAGGTATCCGAGGGATGATAGATAAGATTCAAGCAAATGTGGAAGAAGTTAAGAAAAAACATAGTGCAATTTTATCTGCACCTCAGACTGATGAAAGTAATATAATTTTATTTACAATTAATAATTTAAATATTGACATTCTTTTAATGTCTAGCAATTATTTAATATTAGTGTTGAAATAAATTTTGATAGTTAATATACTGAATTACGAAGTTAACATTTTTAACATCCTTTAGAAAATAAAATTCACTAAAAATAAATTATGTTATGTTGTAAATATTAATCGTAAAACTCAAATTTGATATTTAATAGAAAAATCAAATCTGAGTTATAACTTTTTAAAGTGGTAAGTGCGGATTAATTTAAGGCTATAATATAGCCTATGGTGGCCAATGCATTTTGATAGGTATTCAAAGTTATGTGTATAAAAGTATGACACCACACAGGATATTATATATTAATAAATATTTATTAAACTATAATAAGTTTCAAACGTACAAGTCTTAAAGATATATAAACAATAAATTACTTATTAAAA